AAATATGAAACTCCCTAAGCCTGTGTTAGATTGCCACAGATGGCATTCAACCCATGATATGTTAGAAAGGCTGATTTTACTAAAACCCAATATCGAAGATTTTTTTACAGAGCAATCTGATTATTTATTGACTGAAGATTGGAAAGAGATAATAACGATTGTTGAAATTTTAAAACCGCTAAAAATCGCAACCAAACAATTCCAATCTGAACAGTTAACACTGACAGATTTTTATGCAGCATGGTTAAGATGCTGCATCGAACTGGAAAAAAATCCAAACCATTTTGCTCAATTACTATAGTCTTGTCTTAAAAACAGAGAAGAAAGGTTTATAAAGAACGAAATTCTCTTAGCTGCCATATACCTGGACCCAAGATACAAGGTTAATTAAAAGCTTAGTAAATTAATTATTTTAGATTTATATTAAAATTGTTATTTTATGAAATATTTAAATATAAATCCTTAAATATTACAGGTATTACTTAGTGATGATGATAAGATTTGTGCGAAAAAACATCTTGTCAATTTATGGAGACGAATTAAAAGCTTAACAACGCCGATTTTATCTGATGATATTAGTTCCGATGAAGTTATTGAACAAGAAGATGATTTAGAGAAATTGATACAACTTAAAGAAAGGCAGGAGAAAATATTTAAAAGAGGGCCAACGATTGCTGAGAAAAGTATTGGAACAATAATTACTGGATTTAGCGATTATAAAAGATTAGATAAGAAGGAAAATATTTTGCATTTTTGGGAGTCTGCTAAGCTGGAACACCCTGAATTATATATTTTATCTAAAATCTTATTTGCTGTTCCTGCAACCCAAGTTAATTTTTCATATTTTCACATATAAATACATTTAACATAGGTTAGCGTTGAAAGATCTTTTTCACATTTGAAATTCATTCTTTCACCACATAGATCGAGGATGAGTGAACAACTCTTGGAAGATATTATGCTAATACGTCTAAATAAAATTTTTAAAATTGATACATGACTATAGCTTTGTATTTTTAACTATATTTGCCTATAAATAAAATAAAAAATTTATTTTTTATATCAAATTTATGTCTAGTTTTTTATTATGATTTAAATATAGAATTTTTTTTATCAACTCAAAAATTCTTGAACCCGAACCGAACCCGAACCAAACCCCGGTTCAAAAATATTTCCCTGAACCGAACCCGAACCGAACCCACCTTTTTTTTTATACCCCGAACCGAACCCGAACCGAACCCTGGCAAAAATTTTGTCGGGTTCGCATCCCTGCTTTGGAGGTTTTTAAGACTCTAACTAGTTATATAAAACAATTTCCATAATTTCAATTTTACTATTTTTAATTATTAATACCAACCTTTGCAATTATAAAATAACTTATTTATTAAATTGTGAATCTGTTATTCGTCAAGCATTATTTTATACAATATGTATATAAATATATTTAAAAAAAACAATAACTTACATTAAAACAAAACATAAAAATTACTAATAATTATTATCAGAAACTCGATTACTATCCAAGTTTCCCTTCCTTAAAAAATTCTAAAATAATATATAATATTATAAAGTTAATAATACTAATAATTATTATTATAAAATTATGGTTATTCCAAAAACAGTGTATTCTAACATTAATGTCATGATCGGAATCACCTTTTTTCACAGATTTTTGCAGGGAATTCATTAGTCTATCTGAATGTCGCATATTCCCTTGATAATTATAATTGCAATCAGAGCAAATTTTAGAAAAAGAAAAATCTATTATAAACCTATAAATCATCACTGTGTAATAAAATAATTTTTTAAAATACTTATTCTTATTTGCAGAGAATGCGGTATTACTTTACATAATTAAATTTTAATGTTGTGTATATAATAGAGTATTATATACAATACACTCATACAAAAATATAGTAAGTATTACTATATAAGTGTATTATGAATATATATCGAATTTAAAAATTTCATATTTCAAGAAAGATTATTTTATATACACGAAAAATATTGATAATATTTTAATTAGTCAAAAATGAAGGTCATATATGAGGTGTGATTTATATATCATCGATGTTCTGAGAGGATGTTTAATTTATATTATAATCGGTATATAATAAATTTTATCATAACCAGCTATTTTAATAACTATATATGAGCCGTGATAAAAGAAGTATCTTTAATTTCAGGGATAGGAAGGGGGGGGGGGGGGTGATAATTTTTTAGGTTCGATTACATAATTTAAAATTATAAATACTGCATAAATTATGCTAATAAAAGTCGATTTAGTAATTTATTACAATTTTTTACTATGATATATTGCATATTTAATATTAATACCTAATTCATAATCAAAGTTTCTTATTCATCCATCACATCTTAAAAAATGGTAAGTCTAGATTTATTCAGAGCTAGGAGTACAAGTTAACAGAAAGATCGATATATGCAATTTAGCAAAAAAATATATACCCCCCCCCCTCCCATTCCTAGTTGTGGCCTTGATTCAAAAGTAGTCAGTGGTTATATCAAAATATTAACCTATCCATATTCATACTGATCTTCATTTTAAAATTATCCTGAGGTTATTACATATGTATAATGTTATTTTATTTTATTTTTTTCGTAATTTACAATTTAAATTTTTGTATAATTATCGCGTTAGATACAATTCGTTTGTGGTTTATATAAACATAGAAGCAAGGTTGGTGAAGGAAATTATTTTCATTAAAAAAGAAATTCATTAAATATTTATATCATCATTATTTTAATTTTAAATTCATTTTGTTGTAATTTTGTGAATTTTTTATATTTCTGTTAATAATTATTGCGAATCTAGATTTTTTTTTAATGATTTTCTCTCTATAATAACTTTGTAAAAAGACATGATGCGGAAGGATATCTTTCCAACTAGTAGTATTGTTAAACGGCTCAATTTTTGAAAACGGCTAACCAATTATTGTAGCCAAAAAATATTACGCAAGCCTGAAGATGTTTTTCTCTTAGATTGCAGAGAGGTTTGAACATCTGTTGACGAAATCTCGAGATTTGCATAATATTTTTTTGGCTAAATCTTAATTTATAATATTCTAAATCGAGCCGTTTAACAATTTAGATGGGGAGTGAGGAGGGTATGACGTCATATCGTCGTTAAAAATGGAGGAGTCAGGAGATATGTACACGCTATTATCATCTGAATAAAATTAAGGAGGGTAAGGAAGGAAGAGGGGGTGAGGATGTTTCGATTTGGATTTAAGTTATCTTTTTGCTAATGGATTTCCTTTTTTCGCAAAATTTGATAAGGAGTAGGAAGAGGTAGAGAATAGGGGGCATAAATCGTCATTGGCTTAAGGGAGGTGTAGAAGTCCCTATTTCCAATGATTCACCCCAGTAACCTTTCAATCCCAGTTAGCACGAAATATAGTAGAAGTATACAAAAGTATAGCGTATTTTGTTTGTGGCTTTTTCAAACTTTCATATATTACTCCGAAGTAGTGTTTGATCCATTCTGAAGCAGACCAAAGTTCGGCGATTTTAAAATGATCCTCAGCCTGTTCTTTGACCTAAACCTATATAGTTTTTAAAACAGTGTTAATAGCCCAAACAGAACCATGCCTATTTTTCAGAGGGTTTTCAAATCCGATTTAAAATAAGGGCCAATCCGTGATCCAGTCTAAACCGGACCTTTAATCTATATTACACCGTACTCAAAGCTCCTAATAGTATTGTATTTGAGTCCAAATATTTTTAACACTAAAAATATATCGTATCTAATTGTATTTAAATTCTTAACGAAAAATCTGTCCATAATTTTCTATCTTTCGCGATGACTAAATTATTAGCTTAAATAATTAAAATGAAAACTAAAAATATTATATTAGCCGTGGTTGTTTTACCAACGTATTCTACCCTTTTCCTGGTTCCCTAATTTTAAATTAAAGAAGTTTATATATCAATTCAATACTTTAATGAGCGGCCTTGGCTCATTGGACAAGAAATGGAAAAGAAAGAAGATGAAAAAAAGAAGAATATAAAGAAAACAAAAAAAAGAGAAATTTTTTTTAAAAAAGATATAATAGCCCCAACGCTTCCTTTATAACATGTATTTAGCAGAAAATCCTAACAGCAAAATATTCAATAATAGTTCCGGCTACAAATGGTTAGGGCAAACAGTTATCTTTCTTTTGTTCGCGCTCTATTGAATCTACACCCCTTGCATTCCATCTTATAACAAGCCTCACAGGTTTACGTTTCATAAGCCCATATCTCATCCTATAGTCAAATAACCTAACATCTACCCGACCTGTATCCACTAAAAATACAAATACGTTGGCCCTAACTAATACTATCTTCCATGGTTTCCCCCAAACTATATACTTAGAGGCACTAGGCTCTATCAAAGGTATGCAAGAAATGGAACTCTTAATAACAATGATCTCAACGAGAGAATCCAGAAGATTTTTTTCTAAGCATTTTTTCCCACTTACTTACATCACTCCTTTATAAAAAAAATTTAAGTAATATACTTTTTAGTATAGGTGAACTTCCATTTATTTTTTTGTAAAAATTTAAATCGATTTGATCTTTACGTTATTTCCTCATTTGTTATAGATTTTTTTTTCATTAAAAAAAATAAATAGAAAGAGAAATATTTGACGGGTAATAAAAAAAAATGAAGTACATTCTTTTAGAGCCCTACAAGTCGGCTATGACTGTATCGGCCCAATTCAGGTTTGGGCCTCATATAAAAATTGAGACCGGTCTTGAGAAGCGAAAATTAAAATTTTAGGTTTCCATAAGGTTTGATAAGATATCAATTATGAATATCTTATCGAATAACTTATAGGATTCTGATTTTCTTTGAAGATTGATAATTTGATTTATAATTTTTTTAATCATTCACACAAAATATAACTTTATATTTAAACGTAAATTCTTATTTAGACGAACAAATAAACGCTTTAGGCACACCGCCATACGCTTCTAATAAAAATAGGGTTTAACTTATTGTAGAGAACATCATAGATAATATCCGCCTTTTTTCTCATCATTCTCCTAAAAATAAATCTGCTGCCATTCCTCGCTCCAGGCTTATCAGACGACTAGGAGATAAAGGGGAAGATGCCAATTCCAACCATCTTCTCCGTAATGATAATAAACCTATATTATCTAAACATGGAGATAATGATAACGTGACAAGAAAAATTATTCACCTGGATGATCATCTTAATAACGCCTTGGGCGATAGTAATTACGTCTCTTCCGGCCACAAAGAACCTTCGAGTAAATCGCAACATCAACCACCATCGCAATTGGTATATTATAATAACGGGTCATAAGCACGAGGAGGGGGGGGGTGTATAATGTAATTGCGTCACTGAAATTAGGAGGATAACTAAGGGTTACCCTGATAATACATATGCAGTCAGTATTCATCTAAAATTTATGTTTTGTTTATGTCTTGCTTTTGCGAGGAGTTAAGAGGGATCCTCGCTAAATTTAAATTTTTTATAAAATTACTCCATAGTTAAAAATGCATAATATGCTGACTCTTTTACAATATGTAAAAAAAAATTGAGATATTTTTGGAATGGTAAGATTTGAGGAAATAAAGCGTTAATTTATGAATTCAAAATGAAATCAAAATTATTTAAAAAAATACGTATATCTAAAAAAAATGTTCATTTTACATTGCATGCTTTATATGGCATTAAAATATCAATCAGCTGTCCCCAGCTACAACTTCCTACGACTATTTGATTAAGCTTCTGGCCTTAGGAGATTCGGGTGTGGGAAAGACTAGCATGATTTGCCGCTATACAGAAGCCACTTTTAGCAATCATTTCATAACAACAGTCGGGATCGATTTCCGGGAAAAAAGATTAGTTAGTTTATAAATCGCAAAAAGATTTATTAATATATAATTTCTAAAATGTTAATTATATCAGGCCCGGATAGGTAAAAAAAACGGCCAAGTCATAAATGTTTTTCTCCGAATTTTATGATGAGGTTTACGAATTTTTTGCTTATATATACAATGTATATATAGTAAAGCTTTCCTAATTTGGGCTCTTGATAATCCGGCGACTCCCTAATTTGACCCAAAATTTTGAGTCCTAAACAAATTCATGTTAACTAACTTACTATTTTAGACTTGATAAATTAGGCTGTCGAATCTGGCTAATGCTGCCCAATGAATATTAGAAGTTATCCGTCTGATTAAAAAAAATTCCAGATCAGTTCTGGCTGGGTAACTTGGACAAAATATTTTTGCAAGTCAGAGAATTTTCAAAAAAAAGCTTGGAATTTGGCAAATTCATGTTTTTTCCTTCATAAAAAATTAATTCGGGCCGAGCCTATCCGTTTCTTAAATATATTTAAAAAATAAGCATTTAAAATTGAGACTAATAATTGTAATATTATAAATAATTTGATATTTTTCCTAATTTCAACCCAAAACACTTATTAATAATAACTCCCTAAAACTTTTTCCGTTTTTTTTATTATCTACGCATTTGATTTATGTAGTGTTACTAGACGGCTCGTTTTGAGCCGATTTTTTAAATGAGGCTAACTCAATATTTTAGCTAGAAAAATATTCCCTAAGCCTCGAAATTTCGCTAATAGTTGTCCAAACCTTTGTTCCTTATACAAACAAAATCTTCAAGCTTACGTAATATTATTCTGGATGAAATGTTGAGTTAGCCGTTTAACAACACTAGATTTATGAAGATTCATTGATAATCTAAAAAAAAAAATTATTAAAATTTCACACAAAAAAAAATATATATTATATATATAATAATTCATAATTTGTAAAAAAAAATTTTTGCTAAAAATCCTACGGTTTTTTTTTAGAATTAATTAATTAATACGTCCTTTGTAAAACTAAAAAGACAAATTTTGTCTTATCTCTAATTCGACATAACTTTTTTTTAAAAAAAAATTAAAATATAATATTTTTTTTAATAGTTTAACGATAGCTATAAGGACATTTTTATTATCAAATTATATAATAAATATAAATATTACAAACAAACAAAAATCATTTTTTTCTCTTTATTTTTTTAAATATTATATAAAAGCTTTGTAATTATATGCTTTTTATATGAGGCTTAAAATTGTAATACTTAAATTAATAAATCTAATTTATTATATTATATACATGAGACATAAAACTATTAAATTTTGTTTATTTTTTTGCCAAAATAATATTTGACTCTATGTAGAAATATAAAATTTATTAATGTAGTATAGGGGATAAAGAAGAAAAATAGCATATTATTTTGGAGAAACTTTTGGTCAATTAATTCTATTTTTCAAAGGCACATATTTAATTTAACAATAAAATGCTATCATTATATTATCCTTTTTGTAATAAAAATAAAATTTTTGTCAAATAAACCAAATATTATTTTTATTAATTTAAACCTTTTTAAATTGAAGATCTGCATAGCCTGGGCTATCCCATTAAATTTTTAGCCCACTGCTTTTATAATTTACCTTAAAAAAAATTCCTGACTTGGCCCGCAGTTAAATTTTTTGTACAAATTGCTAACAATTTTAATATCTATATCTAATTTTTTTTTTCAAAAGCACTTATACTCCTCTAATGACCAATATATTTCTTTCTAAAAACCGTTTTATAAATCAATTGTGTTTGATGCCTTTATATTACTAATTTAATCATATCATAAATAACTGGTATAATTTTTTTTGTGAATTATCTATAATATTTATAGATTTAGTATTTTTAGTTTAGACAGCTTTTAAAATACAAGGAAATAAGCATATTGTAATTTCTTTTCAAATCGTTAATCAGATATTCACTTGAAATTAATTTAGCCTATTAAAATTTTAATGAAATGTGCCTGGCCCGTCACAAAATATTTTTTAAGCCAGGCAGGCCCAGCCCGTTAGCCTAGCCTTTGGATGGACCAGGTTTTGTAGATCTCTACAATAAATATAGCATTTTGAAAACAAATTATAATTTCTAATAGGTTTTTTTGTTGAAAGTTTTTCTTTACATTTCTTTTCAAATCTAATTTTTTTCTTTGTCAAATTAATGAGATGAAAAAAGAAGTTTTCAATACAATAAGCTTAAGTTTTCATTTTATTATTTAATATTATTAGATAAATATTTTGTATTACAGTGTTGTGCAGATTTAATTGAAAACATTTCCATATTTTTTAATTTATTTATTTAACTTGTAAAAATTGATAAGAATATATAAATAAGTTATTTAAACAATTTTTGCAGGTAAAATAATTTTATTTGCACATAAATTAACAAATATGTAACATCAAATATACACAATAATATATGTCAAATCAAACTATTTATTATTATAAATAAATGTTTTGGATTCATCTCAGTTCATAATTATGATAAACCATTTCCATTATTCAAATTCCATTTTAACAATTTTTTTAAAGGAATTAAAATGACAATTATAAAATATGAAATTGAATGACAACTTATTTACTCTCTGTATACAATTACCATTATGTTTTAATTAATAATATTTTATTGATTAGTAGGGATATTTTTATTCTATTACTTATTTTATTTATGATGGTGTTAAAAATAAAAAATTTGTATATTGTTTATTTTTTAAAATGAGCAATTGATATGAATGGTGTAATTAAATTACTAAATTTTAAAGAAAAATTGTTAAAAGTTATTATATGAATATTAGGATAAATTTCATTAATAAAAAAAAAAAAAAAAATTGGGGTCGTCCGGGATTTGAACCCGGGACCTCTCGCACCCTAAGCGAGAATCATACCCCTAGACCAACGACCCACTTATTCAAATATAGAAATTTTTTTTAATTTATAAGATATATGAATTTAAAATCTTTAATCAATGAAAAAGTATTTTTGAACCATAAGATAAATATATTTATACCATTCATTAAATGCACTTATTATAATGTGTAAAATAATGTTATATTTATTTAAAAATTAATTTGAATTATATATAGATATATAGAGAAATTGGGCAGGATGGTAATATCATACGTAATAATAGAGTACATCTTCAATTATGGGACACTGCTGGGCAGGAAAGGTAATTCATTCTTAAGCTTTAATTGTAATATAATGATAATCTATAAACAATTATAAAATATGGTGTATGATATATATTTTAGCCCACAAAATTATTATTAGATCGTAAGCAGTTTAATGGTGCATTTTTTGACCAATTATTTTATTTGGAGAGAGGGAGGGGGATAGAGATTTTTATTTGAACAAATTGAAATTTTATATTTTCAAATATAAAAATAATTTATCGGAGACCTGCCATATTTAAAAAGCAGTGTTGTTAAATAGTGCGCTCCTATCACGCGCTACTATTCCAGTAATGGTAGCTTGTTACATTTTCTAAAAAAAAATAGTGGTATCTCGTTACTAATTTAGAAAGTAGTGATGTCGATAAAACAATTAACACAGGGTATAAATTTCATTTTAAGATGTGCCAAAAGGTTTTATCATCAAACGAGAAGATTAGTAGTTTCAACTCGAAAAAACATTTAAAGGTAATGTATCAAACAAATTTAATATCAATGTGTCGCTCAATCTCTTTAAAATAAAATTTGAATCAAATATATCTATAATAATTATTGAGCTAGATAAGTTTAGATGAATGATTTTCTAGCCTAGTCCAAACATTATATATTTCAACTAGCCTATGATATTCTTTAAAATTATATTATAAATTAAAAATTACAATAAATAATTAATAACATCTGATTTTATCTCAGAGTCATCTATTTATAAGAATAATTATTAAAAATTATTAACTGGATATTAAACATAGCTGCTATTATTCATCCTAGTTTCAAGTTGAAATAGCTAGTGATTTTAAATGGCTCGATGGGTTAATTTTAAAAACGGTCCGATTAAGATTTTTCTAAAATAATATCATATACGAGATTTACCAAATAGAGATACAACATTATCCGCCATCTTTGAGCAAAATCTTCAGTTTTATATAATATTATTTTGACTACACTCTTAATCGGGTCGTTTTTAAAAAGCGATGCAAATTGGGCTGTTTAACAAAGTTACACACCTGATATACAAATAGTTATTTTTAAATATGAAAAATCTCATTTGATTAGAAATATATTCCAAGACTTATAGAGTTTTATCCATACCTTTCAGGCAATTTTGTCTAAAATTTTAAATACTTAAAAATGCATTTTTATGTAGACTTTATATGAATTTTAAAAAAATACACAAAATGTTTATGACAAAAATTGTAAAATGCATAGGGTAGATACTCTACACATGCTTGAAGACATTTCAGTTGAATCGGTTTTTTTAAATATAAAAATAGTCCTCGGTAAAATTTAAAATCTAGAGATTCCATATCCCATTATGATATATGTAATGTTTACAATTTCAAAAAATGCTAAGATTTCGAAGCCTGACCGTAGCCTTTTTCAGGGATGCCATGGGATTTTTGTTAGTGTTTGATCTGACAAGCGAGCAATCATTTCACAACGTTAGAAATTGGATAGAACAATTACAGACCCACGCCTATTCTAATACTCCTGATATCGTTTTATGCGGTAATTAATATTTTCTTTCACATTATATTTGCAACTTTTCATAAATTGTATTTTATTTATTTATTTATAATTAATTATTTTGATTAATTTGCAAATACTATCATGGGAAAAAATAACTACACTTATAAGCAGGCCCTTGCAAATGAAGTGGCGAGCCGGGCAGCTACCAAAATTAGACTGGCTCCTAAATTTAGATTCGGTTGCATTGATTTTGATCATTTTTTAATTATTTGGTTTAGATTCACTTACTTTTTCTTTATTATATTTTTCCCATTTGCCTATTTTAATTATTATTTTACTAATTTGGATTTGAAATTTCTTTTTGCTAATCTTTTTATTAAAAGTTCTAAATTTCCTTTGCTAATGGCTTACTCTGCGTTCACAGTTTGCGCAAATTCACGGCGAAGTATACAAGAATTAAAATGAATATATTTATACCATATTTTGTATACATGGCCGCTAATTTGCGCAGTGAATGCAAGAGATTGCCGACTTCTTTCAATTTATTTTCGACCCCCACAGAATAAGGTCTTAACTGGCCTCTGCGTACAATATTTTTTTATAAAAATATACATATTATTTGCTTAGAACAAACAAATTTATAAATAAATTAATTCCATTCTTGGAGGAAGGGCTTGATCATATATAATTGAGATATTTCAGCAAATAGGATTGAAGGTTTTAAGGATTTCCACATATAAATTACAAGAGGAAACTACCAAGTTTTATTCATATTTAAAAAAACCCGATCAGAAGTTATATTTTAAGTATAATTTAATTAAATGCCCAATAATGTATATATATACTATTAGAATGGCGATTCGTTAATTAGATGTTTTCATACACAAGTTGGCTGTAATGTCATTCTATGGTTTGCCCGTCGACTAATTCTCCTATCGATCATATATTAAAGTACATTATTAAAAGACTTACAAACCAGAAAATGGTGTGCTTTACAACTGACTCCAATGTATGTATGCTTAAAATATTTAATGCAAGAATTGCTAATTTATTAGTATATATGTTAGTGGCAATGTGTTATTTTTACAACTTCAACTCATTTTTTGAGCGCGTTTTTTTTTAAATTTTAAATTTGATGATTTTACCAAAAATGTATTCCAGCATGGTTGGAATACCTACCATATGAATTGTAGATAATTTTATCCTAAACTTCTATTAAAAAAAACGTATATAAATTATATTAAAAGTTCATGGCAAAATTATCTGAAATTTATAGGGTATGTATTCCAAACATGATGGAATACACTTCCGGTAAAATCAGATTTTTTAAATTTTAAAAAAAAAACGCATATTAAAAAATTAACACATTACCCGGAAAAAAACGCATTTTAACATATACACATCATTGATTGATATCTAAGAAGTGAGAAATTGTAAGTTTCTACATTTTTAAACATATATTCCTTAGAACTCACATTGAATCTGACCTCTTTACTCTTGTCCTCTGCAATCCGCTTTTCAATCTTATTTTGTACATTATTTCTTTCTTAGACCTTATTAATTTCTTAAACCTTATACTTTTAGATTACCTTGAATCAAGTGAGACATTTTTTAGGATGTCAATTTTATTTCTTATTTTATTTTTTTTTAAAAAGCACATAATTCCCAATAATGATATATATTATTTTTTATCATAATTTAATATTGCGAAAAATATAATTATTTAATAATAACCAATCACAGTTATTTACAGTTTTGATTGGCATCTTATATAATAATTAATAATATTACAATGAAAAATAATCTATAATCCTTTGAATATGCCTATATATATTGTACAATAATATTAAAACTAAAACTAATGCCACAATATTAAATGCTAATCTGGAATTCTACAACAATTTTGCTTTTCTTTCTTTTCCTAAATTTTATTTATATTACTCATTTAATGTTTTAATTATCTTCATAATGTTTATGTCATTTTAAACACGAAAATATTCGCGTTAATTTTACTTTGTGTTCATATAATTATACTCTCTAATACTTGAATTTTAATTATAAATTAAGTGTATACTATTTTTAAATAAAATGCTTCAATTTCGTATTTCTTTGTAGGTTTAGATAAATTTAAAAAACATAAATTGAAGGAATTTTTAATTAAAATTTCTTTTTAGGTTAAACGGAGTCTTGGTTAAAATACACAATAATAACTTCGTGAAATTTAATTAATTATTAAGCAAAAAAAAAATTCTAAAATTATATAAATTAAACTAGTCAATATTAAGCATTTATCATCTGAGAAAAAAGAAAAACTGTCAAATTTGATTATATACCCTTTATAATTACTATTAGTTAGATGCTTCATTTACAAGAGAGTACAAAATTTTGAGGATGAATTCTGAAACCTATCTTCTCCCATACTTTTTCTTCCTTCCTTAATAGAGTTTATCTCCCCCATTCATATACGTGGTCGGTAAAGACGATTAAATAATGTTGATTTTATGAGTAATGGGTATTATTATATAATAATAATTAATTAAGTACTCTACTATCTTTGACTTAAACTCTATAATATTTTTAAATTGCTAAGTTTACCCTTAAAAATGCAAATAAACCTTAAAAAAAAATTTATGGCTCTCCATCTTGGTTAATGTTGACTCCGATATAAGATTATAATATATTTAATAACATGCTATAATTAAATAAATGAATAATTAATTCTTATCCATCAATAGAGAATAGGAAAATCATGTAGTTAGATCGAAATATGTTAACTGCTAATCTTTATCTCAGGTAAAAACCTTCTTGGATTTTGAGTCTTGGGTGTAATGCGATACCCTAGATTCTTGAAGAAGTTTAGGGCATACATGCCAAAAGAAGTAAGCTTTGTAGCAAATATTGGTATGAATAAAGGATTGGGAGGTAAAACATGCGAATATTTGGCAGATTTACTTCATTCTGCGTCAACAATAGCATGGTTTAAGTTGGAGAGTGCGAGAGGGTCTACACAAGAAAATCCCAGATTAAGAACTTACCATTCTTCTATGGAACTTTGGATAAGCCATCAGAACGTTTATCATCTGCGTTACAAAGTCCAGTCGTCTCAATGATTGAAGAAATTCCAGTGGGTTTTAAGGCACGAGGTATGGTGTTATTACATTTTGTATGTCTAGGAATCTACCTCAACATCGTTTTTTTATTTAGAGAGTGGCGACCTTTAGAGTCAGCAGGAGTCTGACAAAGTGAGCATGAGTATGGCAATCATATCACAACTAAGTCTGCGTCCGATAGCATGTCTTAGCTTATCGTTTGCAAATAGTACAAGATTACTTTAAGGAATATCTTTAAGAAATTCATTTAAATTAGTCCGGGACACGGAAATACAATATTGTGTTCTCCATAGCGATATTAGCCTAATTTTGGTATCTGTCGCTATGGAAGGTAATGTTGTGCTATTTTCAGGCTTACTAGAAATCTCACCTTAAGCTTACATTCTGTATGATTATATTTTTTTTAAAGTATTAAATATACTATTATTAAAAAAAATATTAAATCTTTTAAAAATGATACCAATAATTTTGAATTTTAAAATTAGACTGTAGCCAATGTTAAAAGATGAAAAAACATATTAAGATTAGTTTGTTTTGTTTTACTTTACTTAGCTAATTTTATATCAACAACTTAATATAAAAACGACTATTCTATATGTTAGCGTCAATGTGTTTTTTCTGGGCAATTAGTTATTTTCACAACTTTAAATTATTTTTTGAGCGCGTTTTTTTAAATTTAAATTTAAAAATCGGATTTTACTGAAAAATATATTCTATCATATTTGGAATACCCATCTTATAAATTGTAGACAATTTTGTTGTTACCCTTGGAGTCATTAATAATTTATATAAAAAAAATTTATATAAAATCTAATATAAATTTTATTAAGTTTCTAAAGTTCATGGCATAATTGTCTGAAATTTTTAGGCTAGGTATTCCAAACATGATAGAATACATTTCCGGTGAAATCAGATTTTTTAAACTTTAAAAATCGCGCTCAAAAAATTGATTTAAAGTTGAAGAAATAACCCATTTTTCTTATTTTTTTTACAAAATTCCATAATACTTTATTATTTATTATATTAAATTAGGCAATAAAAGTGACATAGAAGATAATCGACAAATTTCTTACAAAGACGCCTGTAAATTTGCCTCGGATTATAAGTAAAATATATCTTCCTTTTTTCTTTTACTAACAAAAAAAATATCTTGACTCTTTTCTATTTGATTTAATATGATAAAGTTGTAAAATAATATAGTAAATCTAGCTGAATAATGTTATTATATTAATTTTTAAAATAATTTTTTCCTGCGTTTCGTATTCATTTTATACCTTGCCAACGAACCCGCAAACTAGAGAAAAAAATAGGGCCAGACAGGGTAAAAACATTTTAACCGGACCGAAAAGCCTCTTAAAATCTTTCTCATGGTGATTTAGATTTATAGGCTATTATTCCTTAGAAAACCGTTCGAAGTTAAAAATAATAATTTCGTATTGATAAAGCATGACGTATTTTGAAACAAGCGCCCTCAGCGGTATCAACTTAAACGAAGCCTTCGATTATTTAGTTGAACTCGTTATGAAAAGGATGGAGGAATCTATAGAACTGTCTCTAAAATCTCGTATCAAAATGGCAACTGCCACCAAGTCATCCTTAGAAGCTCAGCAATCTCAATCATCCATGTATAGCGATTATGTCGCTGTCCCTATCAACATTGACAAAAGTATGGACCATCCGAATAAACCCGATAATAAAAACAAATTTAATGACAAAGGGTCAACTTTTGTGCCTTCTTCCAAAAGTAAGTGTCGGTGTTAATCCATGATTCAGAATGTGACCAATTCTAATTACTTTACAGAATTTTATAGATAAAAATAGGAGCCAAATGCTATTGTTATTAGTAAATAAAAATGTTATTCGTTGAACGATCACAAAATAATACATTTACATTTTTGAAATAATTTCGCGTTGTTGAAGACATTAATATAAAATTATTACAAAAGACCCCATTCTTTTATTTTAAATATTGTTGAAAATTTTCTAAGGAAATAAATAATTTTTAATGCGAAATATAATGCAATTATAAAATGAATGTTTACCAAAAATTATATTTTTGACAGGAATTGTTAGTTATTATAATATCGAACATATTATATTAAACTCATTCCTTATACTGCCTTCCTAGTGAGATCCGATCCATTAAAATATAACAGCTGTGGTAGAGGTTTATAAAATTCGGGGGTAGGGGGATGCTATATTGACTCAGGCTTTTAGGAAAAATTTGTAACACTTAAATCATAAATAGCGTACGTTTTTTAAAAATTTTGAAAGACCTGACTTTGCCGGACGGGAGACGTGTAAAATATTTTATTATAAAGATTTCTTATGAATCCACCTCACCCCACTTCCATCCTCATTCGAGGGAGAAGCGTAGCAATTGGATTTCTTTTTAAAAACAAAGTGTCTATTTACATATATCATTTATTTCAAAATTTTAAAAGTATCATTTCAAACTTATTTTACATATATTTAACATACTACTACTTAAATCTTTTTAAAATACTTTACTCGTTTTGAAATGATTTTTTAACCACATAAAATCGCTATAAAATCTTGTAGCGATTAGCGCGGGTGTGTAAATTGTTTTTTTTTCGCTCCAGTTCATAATTATTTTTATCGAGTTGTCTTGAAAAAAATTAAATATTTTGTAAGTTTAAAAATAAATAAATGAAAATGGGAATTGATGTATTTTTTTTAATGTAATGCTTGTTAAGCTTAAAATTTGAGATTATTTAGGTGTTATTAAATTAAGAATCGCGTCAAAAGGAAAAATTTGTATATTTAAAATCAATTTTGAAGGTCACATTTGCACACTTGGAGAAAAGTTTAGCACTTTTTGCCTTAAATTACTAGAAATAAGGCCAATTTAAAATATTCAGTGCCATGTGGCTAATGTTAGATCTTACTGTAGGGGAGACCTAAGTGAAGCTATTGATAGGTTAACAATGTAAACATGAATTACATTACCCTTGAGCATAAATACCTTAAATTTGATATATATTTTTATATTTGATTTCTTACATATGTTCATCATTTGCAAAACCTTCCTGGTTTGAAAAATTTTGCCCAAGAATTATCCTCTAGTTTATTTTGCCATTTAGCAACATATATTATTGCTCATACATAATTTAAAAATTTTCACATATTTTCCTTAAACTTATAACTATAAAAAATAAATTTTATTAGAAGTTTATAACTTGACTAGAAATCATGGAATAACGATTTGTATAATATTATATATATATCACTCTGTAGTTATGGGTAAAACGGTTAAAATGTTCAGTCTGATTATGAAAATTTTTTATTTTAATATTTACATTTACACCATATAAAAAGATATTTTTGAGCAAAAAAACAACATTAATAAATAGTCAATATAAAAGTATAATAAATTAATGTTAAGAATATATGCAATACACAATATTGAAAACATTAAAATTTCCAAAAACATATTGATAGAGGAAAAAGGCCATTTTAAATTTCACTTATGAGTAATAATAAATATAGCAGTATTATTTTATGTGTTATTTGGGATAAAATTTTAAAAATAGTTGCAAAGGGGAATGCTTAAAATGGACAGACTCTAAATGTGCTATTTTTGATAAAATATTTTATATTCCCGTATTGTATTGATTATTTTTAATCTAAAAGTGATGAATAGATGTTAAAATTGCAATATTTTGTTGAATAAAACTATAAAATTTTATTTTAATTACTTCTTAGCAATTTTACCCAAAATGGCACAATTTCATAAATTAATCATAACTAATAAGGTATTAAAGATAGATAGCTATACTTTTTTTTTCGTAGATAAAGAATTTGGTTACATATAAATCTATAATTTATTCCGTTTTGTTTAAATTTAAAAATTTTATGGTAAAAATGATAAATACTAATCATTTTGCCCCGGTTTGCCATATTGCCTTTTGGCCTTTTCATTTAATTTTTAATGTCATCACATCAATATTATGTTAATAATTGAATCCTACCATAAATAATAGCATATATTTTATTCCTTCTGCGCCAGATTTCCACAGCTGAAAATCCATAAATTGGTAAAATAAATTCTTCATTTTTATGAAATGTAAATATTGTAACTTCCCATTCCCATAGCAAGTTATTTTACCCTTTTTCCTTGTGGAATAAAGATAATTAACACTGTTATTTTCAAACTACTCCCAAAGGTTTTGTAATACTCATTTATTACCAGATGCTTTGCAATCTAAACCTAATTGTTTTAAAAAAATTAATTTTATGAAATAAAAAATGGCGCTACCTATTTCAAACTAATTCCCAGAGGTTTTATCTGTTCAACTATCCAAAACTTTTTATCATCTAAGGATGTTTAAATTTTTCATTTTTTTCCCTCATGGAGCAAAGAAAATTAGAACCAACAATTTCAAAGTATTCTAACACTGGTCAACAACCACCTATAATTTGTATCTGATCAAAAACAAAATTATTTAAAATTTCCCTCATTTTTAAAGAAATAGAAGCCCCAAAATAGCATCAAAATAATTGTCCAATAAAGCATAGCTATTAGCAATGTCAAATTCTTAGACTAATAATTTGGACTTTACAATTTAAAAATGGTTGGCTTAATAGTTACACTTTTTTGCTTCTTAAAGAGCAGTTTATGTTTGAACCATGTTTTTAATTTATCATTCAATTAAACTTTATTATATACCTTACCTTAAAGCTTTTGTTCAACATGGGTTACCGAATCTATCTACCCTTATTCCTTGATAACCACACTGATTTCCTTTACATTCATTCCTGATATTATGCTGAAAAAAAGAGTAACATTGTCTTAAAAACATTTATTTGAATTTGGCCATATTTGACCAGTCAAACATTGATCAATTGGCATATCATATTTGAACAGTCAAATACACAATCGTGCTCTACACTGGAACACATTACTTGTCAAATTAAAATATTTTTAAAAAAATTTTCCCAGTAAATGATTTAAAATTGAGATTCAGAAACCTCCATGAATTCCATATCCCAAGCAACATTAATTGATTTATTTTATAATTTAAAAATTTAAGAAAAATTTTGCTATTTTAATTTAGATTTTATTCTGCTAGAAGAAAAAATACTTGAGAACTTCCAAACAAGTCATTTTTTCTAAGTGTTGCATATTTAAACAATTTTTTATTCCAAATATTACAATAATTTGTTGAATCAATTTTTTTTTGTAAAATATTTAAAAAACAAACATTTTTTCAATGTTAATAAAAAATAATATTTAATACAAATTTATATTATGCTAAAAAAGCCACCAATTATTATTATTTTTTGTTTGAAAATAATAAATATGGAAACCACTTTGAAAATTGACATGTTTAGAAATGAGTGAGATTTAAAAAATAGATTCAACTTGTACCCATCTCAAATAAGCTTCATTCAAGCTTAGCCTCTTTTTCAAAATAAATTGGTTAGGGCTGAATGTTTTTTTAAAAATGTTAGGCCAAGCTGGCCTAATCTCATTTTGAAATAAAATACCAATATTTTTTTGTTTGCAGTTGTATAATGACCAAAAACGTTCTGTATACTAAAAAATTAATTCTATATTTAGATAAATTTGTGCCAGGCCAGTCAAACATATAATTTTTATTTGAGGTCGGGCTTTTGGGAACAAATAAAAAAATATATGGAATTAAGCCAGGGCTGACAAATTTTTTTAAAAACTTTAAGCCAAGCCAGGATTAAAAATTAGGCCTGATCAGGGACCCAAACCGTTATTTATAACGGTTCAGTATGTAAAAAATTATAATGGTTACGATTCTTAAGAAGAAATTTATAAAGGTTCGATTCGGTTCAGCTAATTATAAAGGTTTATATATAGTTCATTACGATTAGAAATTTTTTTTTATTGACGTAACACCATCTTCTAATTTATTTTTATAATAAGCATCTATGAATTATATATAAAAAAATTATATAAGATTCAAAATAACTCATTTTTAAATATATTATTTGAATGTATAAGTAATATATTTTCTAATATAAATGGATTCCTTTTTGTTTGTGATTACACAAATTTTAGCCCTGAAACCTGTGTTGTGGGAAGTGCCAGTACTATAAGAGCAAGTTTATATAATTCTGGATATTCAAATTATTTCCATTTCTAAAATATAAAAACTGAACTGGTTTAACTGTTTTTTATAAAGGTTCTTTTTACTCCTTCAAAAAATTATTATATTGGCTCGGTAACGATTATGGTACAGATATTTATAACGGTTTATAATGGTTTAACCGTTACGGTTCACTCCAGGTCCCTGGGCCTGAAGCAGATCACACGCCAATCATGAAACAAATATTTGGTCTTTACAAAAAAATAATATGGTCATTCCTATGGCCTAAAAGACTATATTAAAAATATTAGGAGCTATCAATCTTAGTAAGAAAGAAATTTAATCTCAAATATAAACAAGAGTTCCTTTAAATATACAGTAAATATAATCGATAACTCAAATGCCAATAATATTATATTTAAATAGTTTACAAATCTTAATCATATAAATTTTTATTAAAAATTTGTATTTTAAAATTATATATAAATTAAAGAAAATAAGAACTAATCATATTACTTTAACATTTAGTCTACAAATCCTAGCCATATCATTTTTTACTAAAAATTTATACTTAAGAATTATATATTTTAAGAGTAAAAAAAAGTTAAGTATAAAAAGTTTTGACAAAACCTATATGAATCTAAACAAATAAGTCTAATTAGAATGTTATAATATTTAAAAAAAAGTAATATTCTAATATTGTATACTTTATAATCATTATGAATTAATGATATGATTTAGATAATAATTGCCAATAATATTACATTTAACATCGTTTACAATTCTTAATCGTATAAATTTTTATTAAAAATTTGTATTTTAGAATTATATATAAATTTAAGAAAATAAAAACAGAATT